TAGCTGGATCTCCCATCAGGTACACAGGACTTTTCACAAAGTAACAGGACCGTCCAACAAGTAAGCATGACCACCTGTAAAAGACAAGAGGACCTCCCCCAAAAAGTGCTCAGGACCTCCCAAGAAGTAAGCAGGACCAGGGCTATCCAAAAAGTAAGTCGGATCCCAAAACAAGTAAACATGACCCCCCAGAAAGTGAACAGGACCTCCCAAGAAGTAAACATAACCTCCCAAGAAGTAAACATGGCCTCCCAAACATGTAACGTGACCTCCCACAAAGTAAACAGTACCTCCCAAAAGGCAAACAGGATCTCCAAACAAAGAAAAGAGGCTCTTCCCCAACAATAACAAAGGACCCCCCGTAAAGTAAAGCGGACCTCCCAGATAATAAACAAAGCCTCCCAAAAAGTAAACAGGACCCCCCCAAAAGTGAAGAGGATTTCCCACAACGTAAGCAGGACCGCCCAAAAGTAAACAGGCCCCCCAACATATGAACAGGACCTCCCAAAAAGTGAACAGGACGTCCCACAAAGTAAACAGGACGTTCCAAACAGTAAACAGGACCTCCCAACAAAGAAGGGAGGACCTCCCCCAAAAGTAAACATTACCTCCCGAAAAGTTATCCGGACCTTCCAATGAGTAAACAGGACCTCCCAGAAAGTAAACAGGACCCCCCAAAGTGACCAGGCTCTCCCACAAAGTCAACCAGACCCCCAGAACAGCGAACAGTACCTGACCTCCCAAAAAGCGAACAGGATCCCTCAAACATGCCCCCCAAAAAGTGAACAGGACCTCCCATCAAGTAAACAGGACCTCCCGCAAAGTAAACAGGACCATCCAACAAGCTAGCAGGACCTCCACATGTTTCATTGCGTGGAGCGCCCCATGTGCGCATCTATGAGCATGGACATGACCGTCGTGAGTGTCCAGGCGCAAGAGTTTTCGAATCTAAACGGGCTTGAATATTGACGGTCTGGGGGCGAGTCTAATTGTGAATGTGTTGGGGTGCCTTCGCCACGGGGCTCCTGCCGAAGGCGTCCCTTTACAAGAACTTCGGCTTCGGCACCGCCTGTATCCGAGGCTATGCCTCTCGGCCTCGCTCTGAGGCTCCGCCGCTTCCTCCCTCCACTTCTCTACCTGATTCAAGCTTCGCGCGGCCCGCTTAGCTTCGACCAGAAGAGGTGCGCTCTCGACCCGCGGATCAAAACATGTGTTGGAGAGTGGGTGAGTCTCAGTAGTATTAGTGCGCCTCTGTGCATGAGCCCTGGGGCCTCCGGGAGCCTCTTGAAACCTCCTGGGGCTTCCTGGTCCCTCCTGGAGCCTCTTGGAGCCTCCTGGGGCCTCTTGGGGCGTCCTGTGGCCTCCTGAGGCCCTCCAAGAGCCTCGCGTGGCCTCCTGGGGCTTTCTGGAGCCTCCTGGAGCCTCCTGGGGCCTCCTGGGGAGGATTCGTGCCCCAGGAGAGGCCCAATATGTATATATATATATATATATATATATATATATATATATAGGAACATACGTAAACCACTTCGGATTGGAGCCGCAGGAGAAGGGTACTCTACAGGATCGCGTAAAACACCAATGATTCGTGCCCCAGGGCAGGCCCAATCTATAGGAACGCATGTAAAAACACTGAGGAGTTGATACGCAGGAGAAGGACAATATATAGGAGTATACGTAAAACACTTGGTTGGAGCCATTCCTGTGGCCTTCTGAGGCCTTTGCTCCTGGGGCCTCCTGGGGACTCCTGGAGCCTTCCGGGGCCTCCTGTTGCCTCCTGTCGCTTCCTGTGGTCTCCTGTGGCCTCCTGTGGCCTCCTGGTGACTCCTGTTGCTTCCTGTGGCCTCCTGGAGCCTTCCGGGGTCTCCTGGTGCCTCCTGTTGCCTCCTGGGGCTTCCTGCGGTTTCCTGTGGCCTCCTGATGCCTCTGGGACCTCCTGTGGCCTCCTGGTTCTTCCTGGAGCCTGCTGGAGCCTCCTGTGGCATCCTGGGGAGAAGCCGTGCCCACGAGTCTGGCCAACCAAACAGGCAAACAGTTCGAGACATCCTCGCTTGGCCCCCTGGGGTGCGAAAACTAGCGCATCGCACGAGACATCCTCCAAATCTGCTCCGAGAGCGGAGGATGTTGAGCTGGTGAACAGGCAAACCGCTTGAGACATCCCCGCAATCTGGGCGCGAACGGAAGCCGTGAGATACTGTTGGCGCCCCCCCCCTCCCCCCTTCGGAGTGCGAAAACCAGCAAACCACCTGAGACATCCTCATAATCTGCTTTGAGCGCAGACGAACCTGGCCCCCCAAACAGGCAAACCGCTCGAGACATCCTCGCCATCTGTCCCTTGGGGTGCGGAAGCCAGCGCCTCGCACGAGACATCCTCCAAATTTGTTCCGAAAGCGGAGGGTGTTGAGCTGGTAAACAGGCAAACCGCTTGAGACGTCCCCGCAATCTGGGCGCGAGCGGAGGCCGTGCGATACCCCTGGCGTTCTCCCCTCAGGATTGCGAGAACCAGCAAACCACCTGAGACATCCTCAGGACCTGCTCTGAGCGCAGACGAGTCTTGCCACCAAAACAAGCAAACCGCTCGAGACTTCCTTGCAATCTGGCCCCCTCTGGTCATCAGCACCGTCATCATCATCACCACCATCATGATCATCACACTCATCATCATCATCATCATCATCATCATCATCATCATCATCAGCATCAGCATCATCATCATCATCATCATCAGCATCATCATCATCATAAACATCATCATCATCACCAGCACCATCCGCATCATCAACATCAACACCATACCAACAATGATCACCATCACCATTACCGTCATCATCATCATTTTTTGTGAAAAAAAACTTCCACGACCATCATTCGTCCTACTCGGCATCCTCCCTTTTCACCAGCATCACTCATCATCTGCATTATCATCGTCGTCATCATACCCTTATCGCCATCCTTCGGTATCATGATACTCTGACTGCATCAACAAGCACGAAAGCATGATTCTTAGGCTTACGCCACACCGCCGACCCCTTGGGGGGGCTCGCAGCGCGTCGCCTTCGCTCATGTTGTCGGTGTCGGTGCCTTTGGGAGCTCGTTTTGAAGCATATTTTGTGCCTCAGAGGTGTCTTTTTCGGCTTCGTGTGCGCCTCTTGGTGGCCTCGTGGTGGCTCTTAGAGGCCTCTTGGTGCTTCCTGTGGCGTTGTGGGGCTCTCGGAGCCGTTTTCGGAGCCCTTTTGGGCCGTCTTGGACGTGTGTTGGCCCGTCTTGGTGCCCTCGAGGGCTCTGTGGGAACCCTCTTGGAGGCGTCTTGCGCCGTCTGGGAGCGGGTTTGGGTGGCTCTGGGGCCGTCCAGGAGCGGGGGACACCCAAAAGGCGCACGTGTGAGCAAAAATATACGTTTGACGAAGGAAACGAGGGATTTTTTGCGTCTGGAGGCCCTCTTGGGGCGCATCGTGGATGCCTCTAGGGGCGTCTTGGGGGCCTCTTGAGCCGTTTGGAGGCCGTCGTCAGCGTTTTTGATCGCCCTTGGACCGTCGAGGACCATGTGGAGCTCTCTTCGAGGCCACTCGGACCGCTCCTGGAGCGCTCTCGGGGCCGTTTTCGGAGCCCTTCTGGGCCGTCTTGGACGTCAGTTGGCCCGTCTTGGGGCCCTCGAGGGCGATGTGCACGGACCCTCTGGGAGGCGTCTTGGACCGTCTGGGAGCGGGTTTGGGGGGCTCTGGGGCCGTGCAGGAGCGGGGGACACCCCCAGAGGCGCACGTGTGAAAAAATATACGTTTTACGAAGGAAACGAGCGATGTTTTGCGTCTAGAGGGCCTCTTGGGGGGAATCTTGGATGCCTGTGGGGGCGTCTGGGGAGGCCTCGTGAGCCGTCGGGAGGTCGTCGTCGCTGTTTCTGATCGCTCTTGGACCGTCTGGGACCATGTGGAGCTTCGCGGAGGCAACTCGGAGCGCTCCTGGAACGCTCTTGGGGCCGTTTTCGGAGCCCTCTTGGGCCGTCTTGGACGCCTGTTGGCCCATCCTGGGCCCTCTAGGGGTCTGTGGGGGACCCTCTGCGAGGCTTCTGGGGCCGTCTGGGAGCGGGTTTGGGAGCCTCTTGGGCCGTCGGGGAGCATCGGAAAGATCCAAAGCTGAATTTCTAAAAAATGTACATTTCACGAAGGGAATGGCCCAATTTTTGCGTCTAGGGACCCTTGTGGAACGCATCTGGGAGGCCCTCGGGGGGGCTCGTGGGGACCTCTTCTGCCGTCGAGGACGCCTCGTGGCCCGTCTTCGGGCCAACTTGGACGTCTTGGAGCGTTCGTGGGGCGTCCCAAACTCATTCCTCCGGGGGGTTCTGGGCCGCCCGGGGCCGCCCGGGGCCGTCCGGGGCCGTCCGGCCGGACCCCCCCCCCCCCTCCAAATGGATCGGACCGGGCTCCCGGGGGAGGGGTTTGGGGAGGGGGAACATCTCACACGCCGATGAACCCCAAGGGGTCGGCGGACTTGTATTCCATCCTCTCCGATCGAGGCTGATGCACTGGCCGCCGCTATTGAAGATGCTCCAACCTCCCCGTCTCCTTCGCCGAGATCTGCTCTTCGCCCTTCTGATCCGAAGCGACACCGTATCAACATAGGTGGGAACGACGGCGACTTCACTCCTCCTTCGTTATGGTGTTCCAACCTACTTCAACCTTGATCACCAGGACGAATTCCGAGCGCAGAAAAAAGTATCCCAAACTCGAGGGTTTCTACGTGGGGGGCCCTGGGAGACACTGTTTCGACACTCTTTCGACATTCTTTCGACACTTTTACGGGTGCTCGAAATTATTTCTGGGATGTGGTCTTTAAGTACGATGGGAGCAACATAATTCTCGCGGTGATGTTGCGTCTGACGATATCAAGTAGTACGTCGACGCTACTCCTGCTTCTCTCATGCAGGCCATCGAGCTTGCCAAGTCCGAGATGCCATCCGGTGTCTAGAGCTCCGTGGGCTCGCTGGCCAGCACTATCCAGTCATCATGTACGGCTTTGGGTGCACAGTTGAGCGCCGCATGGCCAGCGTTGAGTTCGAGGTCGCCGCCCACTCCGGAAAATTCAAAGAGGTCGACGGTAAGATCACTGAGCTTCAGCATCTCGTTGGTGTTCTTCGCTCAGAAGAGCCTCCTCCGCCCGTCATCGCCGACAGAGTCCAGTTCGATCGTGCTCCCGACCCCGTCATCCTGGTTGCTCGCACGTGGGCCCTCACCACCATGGACGCTTTCAAAAACCCCATCAAGCCCATCCTGGAGCAGAGCACGATGTCGCTCGAAGAAGTTTCGTTCTCAGGTCTCCCTGCATCTCAGTGCATTCAGGTTCGTGTATGTGGCGCCTCCCACTTCGCTCAGCGTGGCGTTTCTCAGATTCTCGGTTCTCTTCGCTGAGCAGATGGCTCCTGGGCTCGTCATTCCGTTTCTCGACTCCACGGGAATTTCCTCCGACCTCTGCCTGGATTCCGACAAGTCGCCGTGTCAGATCGAGCGTGAGCAGCTGGTCAAGGCGATCAGCAAAGCTTGTGCCGACACGTGCCAGTCTACGCAAGCGTATCTATGGCGACAAGTTCAAGGGTGCCATCAGCGTCGGCTGGAAGCCGATTCTCTCAGGCTGCCCCAACCCTGGTGATGCACCGCCGACGGTCGAGTGGGCCGCCGCGAACCTCATTGCCGAGGGCATCGACCGCCAGGTCATCGCGAGTGCCATTGCCAACCGCCAACCTTCTGGATGGGGCCCGCGCCAGTGCAGTTGCCCTATCACTTTGTTCGAAGCGTGGTGTCGCCAGCATTTCTTTCGCGCTCCCCTCCTATCTGGATCCTGGAATGCGGGTTCGTTATTCCACCATTCCTCTCGTTTCACTTTGGAAGGTCATCGTCCGCGGCGGGCTCTTTGGTGTCCAGGAGTCCCGAGGGTTCATCGAGGAAACCAACCGTATGATCTACTGTCTCCATCTTCCTGTCCAAGCGCTCGTGCCCTCCTCCCGTCAAACGCGACCTCATCATCGATGTTTTTTCAAGACCTCGATTTAGCCTCGGAGGGCCCCGCGAAGTTCCTCGTAATCGTACGTGGCGACTTCCATTTTGCTGATGCCCCTCCCATCGCAGCTTCTCGGGGCGCCCCTGCCAAGCGTGCGCAACATCGGAACTGGCGCCGTTCTCGGGGCCGCTCCGGCCTCGGATGTTTCGGTGGACTGGGACTGAGCTCAATTGGCCCACTCGCTTTCACGCTGCGCTGGGGGCGCTCAGCCAACGTCGACGGTCTGTTTGTTTCCGCACCTGGCTGGGCAGTTGCTCAGTCATCGACAGGCGCTCGAAGCAACGTGTCGGACCGCCCTTGGATCTCGTGCGCCCCAGCTCCCAGGAGGCCCAAAAACCTACGGGGGCAAGCCATCCCATCGGACACCTTCCGCCGCCCCGAGTTCGCCGGAAGCATTTCACACATATTTTGGAGCAAGTGGACATATCCGAGCTCCCTCCCCCGCTCATGATCGAAGCCGCTCGCGTCACCAGGGGCTGTATCGTGCGTGGGAAGCCGTCCGACCCCTTCGCCATGCTCATCATCCTCCGCTCAATCTCCAGGGCCGTCCGGCAGCAGAATGTACCTTGCGCGGGGGATCCAGCGCTCTCACTTTCTCGGCAATCAGTACGTGTTTATCGATATTTCAAGTCGCTCTGTTTCTGCTCGACCCCGGTGTCCTCCGCGTCGCCACGGACGACGCCAGGCAGGGTTTTTTTCAGGCTGGCATCAAGTTTGCCTCCGCCAAGATGCAGGAAGGCACATGCGAGATTTCCAGGCCCAAGCTTCGCCGACGTCTCAGAGGACTCCAGAAACGCGGGCGTCTGTGGGAGCCGTTTGATAGGCAGCGATGTATTCGCGGCATCCGTCCCTCCCCAGACCCAGAGACTAACGCCCTGGCCATTGCTGACCCTTCGGACATGCTCGATCAGTTGGCGAAGCACTGGAGGTAGTGAGCAGCCGACCGACGAGGTTGCCGCCAAGCATCGCTTGCATCGCTTGGACAGGTTCGGTTTCGACGAGCGCCTTAGCGATTTACCCCCTGCCGCGATCCTGGATGCCGAGAAATGTTTGCAGCTCTTGACGTGCCGTCGTGGGACCGCCTGGGACTCCTGGGCCGTCTTGGGGCCGTCTTGGACGCTGATGGGCCGTCGTGTAGCTGTCTTGGATTCCTGTGGGGCAGTCTGGGGGGCCCCTTGGAGCTGTGCCTCGGGGGCCTGATGAGCGTGGAGGGGGAAGAGGGCAAAAGACCTCTTTCTCGTTCTCCTCCTTATCCTCGTCCTCCTCCTCCTCCTCGTCCTCGTCCTCCCCCTCGTCCTTCTCCTCCTCCTCCTCCTCCTCCTCCTCCTCCTCCTCCTCGGGCCGTCTTGGGACCCTCGAGGCCGCCTGGGCGGTCTCCTGGGAACAGGGCCGTCGGGGGCCCTCTTCGGCAGTCCCGGGGCCGTCTCGTGCCGAGTGCGTGTTGCTTGCGTGGTGTCGGTGTTTCGGATGCGTCTGGCGTGCGTGTTGCGCGCGTTTGAATTTGTTCCCAACCATGGGTCCTCGTTTTGAAGAGACAGCGCCCTGCGTCTCCTCTCCTCTCCTCTCCTCTCCTCTCCTCTCTCTCTCTCCTCTCCTCTCCTCTCCTCTCCTCTCTCCTCTCCTCTCCTCTCCTCTCCTCTCCTCTCCTCTCCTCTCCTCTCCTCTCTCCTCTCCTCCTCTCCTCTCCTCTCCTCTCCTCTCCTCTCCTCTCTCCTCTCTCTCTCCTCTCTCCTCTCCTCTCCTCGCTCCTCCTCTCCTCTCCTCTCCTCTCTCCTCTCCTCTCCTCTCTCCTCCTCCCCCTCCTCCCTCCTCCCCTTTTTTGCCTCTGTCCTCTGCATGTTTCCGTTTCGGCATGCCCAATGCAGCGTTTCTTGGCCCCACAGGGAACTCCATTAAAGGCCCCCGTGGCAGGGTTCGCATGCAATTCCACCCTCATTTCGGCGCACCCCTCACGCGGTTCGTGGTCCCGTAGGGAGCTCCACCGAAGGCCACAGCGACAGGGTTCGCATGCAGTTCCACCGTCATTTCGTCGCACCCTTCACGCGGGTCGTGGCCCCTATAGGGAGTTCCACCGAAGGCCCCAGTGGCAGAGTTCGCATGCAGTTCCGCCTTCATCTCGGCGCACCCCTCATACGGTACGTGGCCCCATAGGGAGTTCCACCGAAGGCCCCAGTGGCAGGGTTCGCATGCTGTTCCACTCCCATCTCGGCGCACCCCTTGCACGGCTCGTGGCCGCATAAGGAGTTCCATCGAAGGCCCCAGTGGCAGGGTTCGCATGCAGTTCCGCCTTCATTTCGGCGCACCCCTCGCACGCTTCGTGGCCCCATCGGGAGCTCTACCGAAGGCCGCGGCGGCAGGGTTCGCATGCAGTTCCGCCCCCATTTCGGCGTGCCCTTCACACGCGGTTCGTGGCACCATAGGGAGTTCCATCGAAGGCCACAGAGGCAGGGTTCGCACGCAGTCCAACTTTTCATCTCGGCGCACCTTTCACACAGTTCGTGGCCCCATAGGCAGTTCCACCGAATGTTTCAGTGGCAGGGTTCGCATGCAGTCCCACCCTCATGTCGGCGCACCCCTCGCACGGTTCGTGGCCCCATAGGGAGTTCCATCGAAGGCCGCAGAGGCAGGGTCCGCATGCAGTTCCGCCCCCATTTCGGCGCATCCTTCGCTCGGTTCGTGGCCCCATAGGGAGCCCCACCGAATGCCCCAGCGACAGGATTCGCATGCAGTTCCGCCTCAAGTACGGTGCCCCTCTCACACGGTTCGTGGCCCCATAGGGAGCTCAACCGAATGCCCCGGTGGCAGGGTTCGCGTGCTTTTCCACCATCTCGGCGCACCCCTCACGCGGGTCGTGGCCCTTAAAGGGAGCTCAACCGAAGGGCCTCAGTGGCAGGGTTCGCATGCAGTTTCACCTTCATGTCGGCGCACCCCTCACGCGGCCCGTGGCCGCATAGGGAGCTCCATCGAAGGCCCCAGCGGCAGGACTCGCATTTAGTTCCACTTTCATTTCGGCGCACCCCTCACACGATTCGTGGCCCCATAGGGGGCTCCTCCGAAGGCCCCAGTGGCCAAATTCGCATGCGGTTCCCCGCGCCATTTCGGCGCGCCCCGCTCGCGCGTTTCGTGGCCCCAGAGAGAGCTCCGCCGAAGGCCCCAGTGGCAAGGTTCGCATGACGGCCCCGCCCCACCGCGGCGCGCCCCTCACGCAATTCGTGGCCCCATGGGGAGCTCCACCGAAGGCCCCAGTGGCAAAGTTCGCATGCGGTTCCCTGCCTCATTTCGGCGCACCCCTCACGCGGTTCGTGGCCCCATGGGGGGCTCCACCGAAGGCCCCAGTGGCATTTCGGCACACCCCTCACACGTTTCGTGGCCCCGTGGGGAGCTCTACCGACGGCCGCAGTGGCAGGGGTCGCATGGCGGCCCCGCCCCATTTCGGCACACCCCCTCACGCGGTTCGTGGTTCCATGGGGGGGCTCCACCGAAGGCCGCAGAGGCAGGGTTCGCATGGCGGCCCCGCCTCATTTCGGCACGCGCCCCGCGCCCGTCGTGGCCCCGTAGGGAGCTCCACTGCAGGCCTCAGCGGCAGGGTTCGTATGGCGGCGTCGCCTCCATTTCGGCACACCCCTCGCGCGCCTCGCAGCCGCATATAGAGCTCCTCCGAATGCCCCAGTGGCAGGGTTCGCATGCCTCCTTCTGCACATTTTGGCACGTGGCCCATGCGGTGCTCAACCGAAGGCCCCAGTGGCAAAGTTCGCATGTGCCCCGCAGCCCACTTTGGCACGCCCCGCACACGTTTCGGGGTTTCCATCAGCGTTGCCCCGTGCTCCATTCCTCTCGCGTCGCGCTGCCTATGATGAGAAGGTGATGTCCAACGTCATTCGCAGCTGCATATGGTTGGGTCATTCGCCGGGCTGCTTTTCGCATCCGTGTGTTGCGTGCTTTTCCGAGCTTTGTACATATGTGGTATGCGCGTTGTTCGGGTTGTGTGTTGCGTGTTGCGCGTTGTGTATGCTATGCTGGCGAGCCAGTACACATTGTGAATTAGGATTGCAACTGCTCCTCGTAGTTCCAATGCTGCTGCTGACAGTACGGCATACGGATTACACTACTAGTGCTTGTAGTACTCCTACTACTACCACGGCCGCTATCGCTACTACTACTACTACTACTATTACTACTACTACTACTACTACTACTACTACTACTACTACTACTACTACTATTACTACTACTACTACTACTACTACTACTACTACTACTACTACTACTACTACTACTACTACTACTACTACTACTACTACTACTACTACTACTACTACTACTACTACTACTACTACTACTACTACTACTACTA